ATGGAATTTGATTTTATCGTGATTGCACCCCTCTTACAGTCTCATTGTGGTTTTTTCTTTGTCTTTAGATGTAGGATATCTTTTTTTGGTAGGTTCCAGTGTTTTTTGTTGATGGTTTTCAGCAGTTAATTTTGATTTTGGTGTTTCTGCAAGAAGAGGTGAGCTCGTGTCCTTCTACTCCACAATCTTGTCTCCCAATCTAGTCTCCAGAGATTTTAAATTTTTTTTTTTTTTTTTTCCGGTACGCGGGCCTCTCACTGTTGTGGCCTCTCCCATTGTGGAGCACAGGCTCCGGACACGCAGGCTCAGCGGCCATGGCTCACGGGCCCGGCCGCTCCACGGCATGTGGGATCTTCCCAGACCGGGGCACGAACCCGTGTCCCCTGCATCGGCAGGCGGACTCTCAACCACTGCGCCACCAGGGAAGCCCCAGAGATTTTAAAGAGCTATGAATTAGTTTAAAAAGTTCATTCAGATTTATAGCATTTTAATCTAAATTTAAAATATAAAGGCAAAACAGTTTTTTAATGGGAAAGGTAAAGAACAGCCATATCATCAATATAAAACTTAAATGCCAATTTCTTCATTTACTTAATACTTTTTTAATAAAGACAATTAATCCATTCTCATTTATATAGTGGTAACATGGATATCCTTAGATTTATTTAACTTTTTCTATTTCTATTCATTTAAAAAATTTCTTTCTCTTACAATTATGGATTTTTGCAAAACTGATATTACTTCTCTTTCATTTTTTTTTTCATTTGAAAGCGTGACCTTTTATTTCTATGCTACTTATGGTTAATCTTTACATTTAAAAAATGTTTTAACTTTATAACACATGTTTTCCTAACAATGACAAAAAGGAACTATCTGCAACTTCTCTTCCCACCAAGATAAACTGTTTAGCATGTGGAGGCAACATGAGGCAAAGTCAACTTTCCTTCTGGTTGTACAGAGAATTAGGTTTATGGGCAAAGGAGTTTGCTGCTAGGTCCTACTCTACTCCTTCCTTTTTTTTTTCATATTAACAACTTATTTTTTATTTTTGAACATCACAAACTTCAATCAGAATACTTTAAAAAATATTATTCTGGGGCTTCCCTGGTGGCGCAGTGCTTGAGAGTCCGCCTGCTGATGCAGGAGACGCGGGTTCGTGCCCCGTTTCGGGAAGATCCCACATGCCGCGGAGCGGCTGGGCCCGTGAGCCATGGCCGCTGAGCCTGCGCGTCCGGAGCCTGTGCTCCGCAAATGGGAGAGGCCACAACAGTGAGAGGCCCGCATAACGCAAGGAAAAAAAAAATATTATTCTGCATGCGCTTAACAAATTTGACAAAGGGCAAGGATCCAGTTGACTTGTATTATGCTATGAAGTTTAAACTGAACAGCCAATTCACATATATTTAAAATTGTTAAGTACAGGTAACCATGAACACTTCACTGCATTAATCTGATGGCATCCTACCTCTAGGCACACGTTCATGTAACACTACTAGTAATAACTCCAGAGCAGAGGCAAAATGGAGATAGAGGAACTGCCCTACAAAGCAAGTTTAAGGGATTAAACAGCACCGTCATCATCGTAATCACTACTGAGGACAAAGCTGCTGCCTGTGGACAGGGGCCCTTCCTCCTTAACATTCCCTAAACTACCTGCAGTCCCTTTCTCATCAGAATCTTCAAACAACTTGTCACTGGAATTGTCATCAAACAACTTCTCGTTGGAATCTTCATCTTTGAACACCTTTTCATCTATGTCTTCATCTTCCTTTACATCTACATCTTCCCCATCTTCTTTTCCATCTGAATCTTCAAACACCTTTTCAGCTGCATCGTCTTCTTCATTCTTTTCATTTGCATCTCCCAGCCCCTTTTCTTCTGCATCTTCTTCATCCTCTTTTTCATCCAACTCATCGTCAAATACTTTTTCATATGTTTCTTCCTTCTCATCTGACTCTTCGTCAAATTCCTTCTCAGAGCCTTCTTCATCAAACACCTTCCTGGAGCTGTCATCTTTGAATTCTGATTTTTTGGAGTCATTCTCTTCTAACTCTTCTTCAGAAACGTTTTCATTAAATTCCTTTTCAGAGCCCTCTTCCTCAAAACCTTTCTCAAGGCCATTCTCTTTTAATTCTTTTTTCGGAGTCATCTTCAAACTGCTTTTCCGAGCACTCTTCAGACCCTTGTTCTGAGCTGCTGTCTTCAGCTGCCTTTTGGGGGCTGGCCTCCTCCTCAGACTCCTGTTCAAGGCCATTCTCATCAGGATCGTTTTGGGTCTCTTCTTTTTGGACTCTCATTCAGGGCCATTCTCTTTCGACTCTTTTTTAGGACTACCCTCTTCATGCTACATCTCGGGGCTGCCTTCTCTGGACTCTCCGTCGGAGAAGTCTTCTTCATGTTCTCTTTTGGGACAGCCTTCCTCAAAGTCTCTTTTGAGGCAGCTCTCTTCAGATTTTTTTTGGGGACAGCCTTCTTCAGCCTCTTTTTCAGGGCCACTTCTTTTAGCATCTTTTTCAGAAGCAGCTTCTTCATCTTCTCCCCTATCTTCCGTTTTTTCAAACTTCTTTTCATCTATAAGTTCTTCAAATGCCATTTCAGTTGTGGCTCCTTGAACATTCATTTGAGATGTGCCAGGGTGCTCTGAAAAATGCCTAACTCTAGAAGGCCCCACCCTTCTGGAGCACAGATGGAATTTGAAAGCTGAAGGCCTCTGTTGGCCTCGGGAGGGTTGAGGAAAGCCTCCCATCCTCTCAGCCTTTCCTCCCTTTCTCTTGTGGTCTCCTCCACCTGAAAATCTGTAGTCCCATCACACACTTGGGCAGTGATTTGATGGCCACCAAACCACATTCCATTGAGGGTTTGAATACAATAACCAGCTTCCTCTGGGTCCCTAAAGGACACAGAGGCCACACCATGAGGGTGCCTATCAAAGAGAAGGAGCTTCCTAATTTGTCCAAACTTTGAAAACTCTACTTGAAGGTCTTCTCTGATCTCATTTGGCACCAGTGGATTATCCTCAAAATCCATATGATGAAACATATTTTTGATGATGACAACTTGCTCGTGGTGTATTCAGGCTGGGCCAGCTCTTCTCTCAGGTCTCCAAAGTCCAACTGCTTTTGTCGCATAGACAACTTTTTCTTGTAGTCTTTGCACTTCTTCTTCTTCTTTGAGGTGTCGTATTCCCCTTTCAGTTGAAACTTTGCCACCTCCATATGTAATTTATAGTCTCTAATTTCATTTTCATCCAAAAGTTTTAATGTGAGATCCACAGATTCTCTCTTCAAATAACAGCAAAGTCCATCTCCTTTAAGATTCCCTTGATTATCTTTGTAAAGCTTGACCTTAAATTCTTGTTTGAAGATCTCTCATAATAATGCAAAACTTGGACATGAGCTGTATAAATTCATCCACTGTAATGTCTGGAGGCAAATCAGATACAAATACATTTGTATTTCTGTCTTCTTCAACATGAAACCATCCTGATTCAGCCTTTCTCTTTTATCCCCTCTTTTTGGGATAACTGGGTTTGGGAGTTTTTCTTTGTGGAGGTTCTTCTGTAGTCCTAGCACTGACATCTTGGACACTTGCAGTAGAACTAGATGCACCATCATTAGAAAATCCATAATTGGCCTGATATGTAGCAATAAAATCTTCAGTGATCTTGGGGAACCAAGCCTTCTTGTCCAGGTCCCATTCATACGGGGCATCAGTCGGCTACTGCCCAAAAGAATCGGTTTCTCCACTGGGATCTTTCTGGGTATCACAGTCCTTGGTGTCTCCGTACAATTCTTGCATTTGCAACTGCTCATCAAATTCGTCATTCGCAACCAAGCTGTTGCCGCTCATGTTGCCAACTTAGCCCAGGGGCAGGGTCCAGGCGAGCGAAGAGGCCAAGCTGATGCTGGTTCACCCTGTCAGGTCTTGCTGCCGCCACTCGATCCAGAACACAGCAGGAGCACACACACGAGCTGCCGCCACCGATCGGTCTGAGACGACTGCGGCTCCCACAGCAACGTCCAGAAACCACTTGAAAATGGAGGCCCGCTTAGGCTGATGCAGTCGCCATTGTCCCCTACTCTGCTTCTTAGTCCAGCTCCACCACCCCCTCCCATGGAAGTTAGCTCACTTTGGTAAGGGAGTCTCTTATATGTTTTTGGCTTGAGGCAAACACTGGAGGCTGGTGCTTCCACATGGAGATAAGTACCATTGTGCTTATTACACTATCCTTATGATACATTTCCCAGTTAACTACTCAAAAACCTGTTCACACTCAAAGCCTTTATGCCTCTGATCTTAGTGTTAACACATGGGTCCTAGTCTAGTCTATTCTTTCCCTGTATTATTAGTGGTTCCTACAGCTCTGTTGGATTTTAGCATCAATTTGATCCCATTTATATATCTTCCCAAAATTCCTAAACGCTTTGGGCTTACCAGTTTTCGTGCTTTGTTGTTTCATATTTTTACATTTCTTCTAGCATCTTAATGTGAGTTTAGGATAAGGGAGACAGGAGCACATATATTTAGTTAGTTACCTTCCTTTGAATGAATATTTACAATTAACAACATCAAAACAAAACTTCAAAACTCATATTAATAAAGATGGTTTTATTGAGTTATAGGACAGGGCACATAAAAATCAAATATTTGATTAAAATTTAACCCTTTACTCAAAACTAGAAATTTTAAATATTAATAAGTAAATTTTTAGCAGATGTCTAAATTGTTAACCACTTATTAATTATTTTAAAACTTTAAGGCAGATATTTACTTATGCACTGAATCCCAAATAGGTAAAAAGAATAATCACCCAAAGTTTGTTATCAATTAAAACAAATTAAAGTTAGTACTTAATTAAAGAAAAATTGTTGCATGTTAAGGAAATATAGCACATGCTTAATGCCAGTTCCCTCTCCCCATTTCATATTATATTAAAGAATCACATACTCTCCTTTCACTTCTCCTAAGCAGCAAAGGAAAATCCCATATATAAAAAAAGCTTAAAGTTTAATCTTCCCTAATATTATCTGATCATAAATTTCTTTGGTCAATGGAATGTATGATTTTTTCAACTTATCCATGAAGTAAAGTGGATCAGAAATTTTCAATGGACTAAATCCTTCTTCCACCAACCGAAATTTCTGTAATTTGAATGTTCCTGTTGTTTCCATCTTTTCCTATAAGACAGTGACCAGGATTAGTGGAGTCAGTCAATATTATGTATAATATACAAATAAAATATTCAACAATATAGATTGTAATATTTAATTATAACATTTTTATATCCAGTGACCATCTCTATTTTCACTACTAATAATTTAACATTAGAAATTTTAAAATGCTCTTTAGAACACTTAAATCTTTACCTTGATTTTCCTGTGAGCTTCATTCAACATATAAGAATTATGAATATAGTTAATAACTGATTACAAATATGTCTAAAACATATAGGTTTCTCTCTTCAGTCCAATGTCAAGGCAATATTATGTACAAAGAATGCTACTAGACAGCAAGAAGATAAAAGTACAAAAGACAGCAATCTATTCCATAAGGCAGAATACTGCAAGAACCAGAGGGGGTAAGGAATGATCTAAAACTTGGGTTCCCAAACTATGCACTGAGATGCCTCATAGTACCTCAGTGAATTGTCAGAGTCCCCATAGGATATTTTAAATTTTCAAGGTAAACCCAGTGACATCTGTTGTCACATTACCAACAACTTGGTCAAGGTAGTTCAGTTTCAATATTAGTTTATGATACATTCTTTTCAATGATGTCATATCTTTGAGAAACAGGGTTTTTGGTGGTTGCTATTATAAAAAGCAAGTATAACCAAAAATCAAGCTGGAATATGGAATTAGTCTGGCCCTGTTCAGCACAATCTAATTCCAACATTTGAGGAGCTGTGCAATTCCCAACTTACATCTCCTTAATACATGTGGTTATTTAAATATGAAATAAAAGCATTTTTCTTTCCATTTATATGCATTATTTTTTCAAACAGCAACTAATTTATTAGACCTAAAGAGTTATTTTGCTTTGCCCTAAGTACTGAATAAATGAATGTTTAGGTATTTGTTTTGGCCCAAGAGTGCCATGAATTAATTACTAAGACACTAAAGATGTTATGACTCGAGAAAGTTTAAGAATCTTTGCTTTAAGGAATTTAAAGGAGACAAGGATATTATCTCTGTGGTAGTTTCAGGCATAGGGAAGCAACCTCATTTTAAGTCAGATGACATGCAGGGTCCATACAAGGTTCTATGAGTAGTTTGGCCATTTTTATGCATCCTTCTGAACGAATGCAACTAAGTCAACTTTTCTTTGAACGTTCTTCCCTGATCTCATCCTCTACCCAACACTGTCATTACAGAATGAGATGTAACTGTGTAAAAACACATATTCTTTTCTCTTTTTAAAAAAATTAGTTCACATGATACAATTTGACAGTCTGCCTTCTTTAAAAAAAAAGATTAACATGGTATGTTTCTCCAGGTTAGGTAATTTTCATCAAAAATGGCACTTTTTAATGGTTTCATAGGATCTCATCTAATTATAATATGTTAATTAACCTTATTCTTATTCTTGAACTTATATAGAGAATATTAAAAAATTTTACTACATAAATAATAACATTTTATATATAACATTTGTGCATCTTTAATTATGTCCTAAGGGTAAATTTCTGGAAATGAAATTACTAAATCAAAATATATGCAGATTCTAAGAGCGTGATCACATATTTACCAAATTATTTTCAAGAGAGATGATAACAATTTGTGTTCCCAGAAGCAAAATGAAAGGACCAGTTTAATTTCATCTCAGACATACTGAGTAATATCACATTTAAAAATTTTTTGTAAATTTATTGCTGAAAAGAATCCTTTTTAAATTTGTGCTAAACAGATTTTTAATAAGATAGTTGTCTTATTCATTTTGTCAGAAGTAACTTATATGTTTGCATTGCTTATATCAGATCATTTATTATGACTTATTAAATAATTTTAGTGCCAACTAAGTGTCATTCATAGTGCTAACTATAGTAAATACTGTAATAAACGTTAACACTCATGGGCCAAGTTCTTTTAGGTGTTTAATGATCCTAAAATATTTTCTAAATTTGTACAAGACTGATTTAATCTTACAGAGGAGTCCTATGACAAAATATTTCTTCTGCTTAATGACAGTGAATTTTAAGTTGCCCTTGGAGGAAAATGTTTAAAATATTATTTGATCCATCAACTTTCTACTCTACTAAGAATTAAAATCCATTCTTTCTGGGGCAAGATGGGAGGGGCAGGAGGGAGCTGGGTTTGGTTATAAAAGGGTAATGTGAGGGAGCCTTGTGGTGGTGGAATTGTCCATATCTTGACTATGGTCATTGATACATGAAGCGACACAGGTAATAAAAAATGTATAGAGTTTAATACACACATACACACAAATGAGTACAAGTAAAACAGAGGAAATTTTAATAAGATGAGTGGATTGTATCAATGTCAATATCCTGGTTGTAATCATTTACACAGGATCTCTCTGTATTATTTCTTACAAATGCATGTGAATCTACAATTATTTCAAAAATTTCAATTAAAACCATGTTACTTCTTTTTCATATTTAGCTACCTTTATTATTTCAGAGGACTGCTATGAAAATAATGAGACAATATATGTAAAAGCTCTTAAAATATTATGTAAATGGAATATGTATTTATGACAGTTTAGATGATGTGTCTCATTGGCCAAGCAGTGACTTGGCCACAAGGATTACCCAGCAAGTGCTTTTAAAAAGAATATTAAGTCAGCTATTGCTCTATCAGGGATGTAACAGTGATATGACAAACATATCCAGAAAAGTTCTATGTGATTGGATGTTAAGAGATGATGAGGACTAGCTTTGGGAGATTATATTTGAGGCACAATATTAAACGAATAAATGGCTGGATAAATGAGCAGGCAAAGTTACCCAGGAGCTGAGAAATTTTGTTTCCTTTTTATTGGACTTTACTCCAGCAGCCTAAGAAGAGAAAGCCCACCTCTCAAAACCAGTGAGTTCAGAATTCCTGCAAAATATAAGGTCCCCAAAGGAGACTGGACAGAATGAAGATAAAAAATTAAAGGCAGGGGCTTCCCTGGTGGCGCAGGGGTTGAGAGTCCGCCTGCCGATGCAGGGGACACGGGTTCGTGCCCCGGTCCGGGAAGGTCCCACAAGCCGCGGAGCGGCTGGGCCCGTGAGCCATGGCCGCTGAGCCTGCGCGTCCGGAGCCTGTGCTCCGCAACGGGAGAGGCCACAACAGTGAGAGGCCCGCGTACCGCAAAAACAAACAAAAAAACCCAAAAACAAAGAAACAAAAAATTAAAGGCAAAATTACTTAAAGCCAATTGCCCTGAGGGTCTACACACATCCTGCAGACACTTTGATGTCAGCTTGGTGGAACCTAATTTTAGGTACACAGCACCAAATGTCTTCACAAAGCATGAAGGCATGTGTAAGATTCGGGTTTGGCTTGCCACCATCACTGGGACCCTCATCTATCTGACTGAAGGGGAGGAGAGCAACAAGGAGGACAACGATTATCCTCCCTTCTATAATTAGGCTCCAAATATGGCATAAACTAGCATCCCAATGCTTTTCATTGTTTTTGAAATTTTCTAACAAAAATAAAATGCACCTATTATCTAAGCGGTAAATATTATTTTATAACTAAACCATCTCCAGATTCCTGGTCTTAAATTTTATGGGTAGGTAAAATTACCTGAATTCTTAAAAATTGTGGGCAGGCATAAGCCGGTAAAAATGTTACAACTTGTTCATAAACTTTTTCCAAGTCTAAAGACGTATTTGGTTTTAAAGTTATAGAAGCCATTCCTATGACAAACATATCCAGAAAAGTTCTATGTGATTGGATGTTAAGAGATGATGAGGACTAGCTTTGGGAGATTATATTTGAGGCACAATATTAAACGAATAAATGGCTGGATAAATGAGCAGGCAAAGTTACCCAGGAGCTGAGAAATTTTGTTTCCTTTTTATTGGACTTTACTCCAGCAGCCTAAGAAGAGAAAGCCCACCTCTCAAAACCAGTGAGTTCAGAATTCCTGCAAAATATAAGGTCCCCAAAGGAGACTGGACAGAATGAAGATAAAAAATTAAAGGCAGGGGCTTCCCTGGTGGCGCAGGGGTTGAGAGTCCGCCTGCCGATGCAGGGGACACGGGTTCGTGCCCCGGTCCGGGAAGGTCCCACAAGCCGCGGAGCGGCTGGGCCCGTGAGCCATGGCCGCTGAGCCTGCGCGTCCGGAGCCTGTGCTCCGCAACGGGAGAGGCCACAACAGTGAGAGGCCCGCGTACCGCAAAAACAAACAAAAAAACCCAAAAACAAAGAAACAAAAAATTAAAGGCAAAATTACTTAAAGCCAATTGCCCTGAGGGTCTACACACATCCTGCAGACACTTTGATGTCAGCTTGGTGGAACCTAATTTTAGGTACACAGCACCAAATGTCTTCACAAAGCATGAAGGCATGTGTAAGATTCGGGTTTGGCTTGCCACCATCACTGGGACCCTCATCTATCTGACTGAAGGGGAGGAGAGCAACAAGGAGGACAACGATTATCCTCCCTTCTATAATTAGGCTCCAAATATGGCATAAACTAGCATCCCAATGCTTTTCATTGTTTTTGAAATTTTCTAACAAAAATAAAATGCACCTATTATCTAAGCGGTAAATATTATTTTATAACTAAACCATCTCCAGATTCCTGGTCTTAAATTTTATGGGTAGGTAAAATTACCTGAATTCTTAAAAATTGTGGGCAGGCATAAGCCGGTAAAAATGTTACAACTTGTTCATAAACTTTTTCCAAGTCTAAAGACGTATTTGGTTTTAAAGTTATAGAAGCCATTCC